AAAGATCATCCTAAAGCATTCTTCAGAAGAATGCTGTTAATAAACGTACAAATTTTTTCTAATATAAATGTACTTCCTTGCATTTAGATTTGCTTAGAGAACATCTGTGATTCTCAAAACCAAAACTTTTAGGAGAGTTCAGAAAATTCTTCTAAAGAAACATAACAAATTCTATTGTGTATCCATAGGTAAATCATTCAGACTGGATAACTTGTGAAAGCCTTATTTATACTCTGTATAAATAATGACATTTACTTAAAGGAACTGCAAATAACAAAGAGCAAAATAATAGTATGTTGCTTCATACCAAAGGGGAAGTCTCTTTCAAATAGCTTAAGAGAAAAAAAAAAAAGAACTTGGTTCTTCAGGGTATGTACTAAATGGTATGTGTGTATTTTTTTTCTGGTATAATTTGCTTATTTAACTGTGTATTTTAGTTATTGAGACTTGAATACAACAATGTGTGAGCAGTGTATAGGTACGTATAAAACAAACAGGTGATACTACTATTGCAAATACTTTTCCTACCTATCCACCTAATAATGTCATGAGCAATCCCACTGAAGTTGGTGGGATTACTCACGCCCCTAGAATTAAACATGCTTCTATCTGTCATAAACCTGAGCCATACAAACAACACATATGCACTTCCCACACAGAGACACATCATCTTGATTGATGGTGGATGTTAATGTAACTTTGCCCTGGGCAGATGAGAGGCTTTTTCATAACAAGCATTATTTTTATTCTTAAGGCAGTGTTTTGCAGAAAAAGACAGAAAATCCCCCCAAAGCTTTACTTTGCTTCAATAAAAACAGGACACGAACTTACATATATCAGAGCATCTGTGTGTGAGTGCATGTATGTAAAAATATTTTGCCTGACCAAATATACATACAAATGTATATAATTTTAAAGAACTAATTTCTTAAACACTAACTCTGTCAGTTCCATGCCTGTGTCATGCACCAGAATCAAACAAGCAGTGGTTCTGTTTTTCTGAAAGTCTTTTGAAACCAGGTTAAAACACGAAGTGTGTCTGTTGACTTTATTTCTAAAACTTTGGGCCCAGTTGGAAAACAGAGTGTTTTGCCAACATGCTGGGTGTTTGGGTTAGATGGGCCAGCGACTTCAGGATGCTGGTGAAAATTTTACACTGGCACACATGATATTTTATTAAACCACATCACCCAAAAAACAAATAAAGCAACATTCTTCCTCCTCTGCATTAAAAAAAGATACAGGAAATATACCATAAGCGATATTAGCACTGCTAGAAATGTGTGAAAGCAGAGCAATTGTACCATGCAAAGCATGCAGAGAGAAGAGGAAAAAAAGTACTGAAGCACCAGAAGGATACACGCATTTGTTAAAAGAGATTCTCTAAGCATACTAACCTGCTGGTTCTAATGAATTTTCTACTTTGTCGTTAACATCGAAAACACGATCATGAACACCTATAGTTTTCATACAGCTGTCTATAACAAAAATAGAGATAACAGCCAAATATGTTAGTGAGACACCCTTAAACTCCCCACGTTCCTTTTTTTCTTGCTTTTTTCTATTTATTATGAATAATTAAGCATATTTATATTTTAAAATCTGTCGCACTTGTCCAAATGCCAGCATAGTCTTCCATTTGTACAACAGTTTAAGAAACAACAAGTTAGCAAGTGCCATGTAATTAAAACAAAGCTTTATGAAAAATGATAAGAAAATATGATGAAAATCATAACAAAAATGCTGCGGTATAGAACAGATACACAAGATTTAACAGTAAAAAAAAGATTTACTGATGTTTACTTGACCACATAGTAAATCATGCACTACAAAGCCACCCTCAGAAGCTTAATCTGAAGAACTTACTTGCTGGTCGCACAAAGACCTTAAGCTTTAGACAGGATCTCCTTCCATTATCTGGGATCGCAGAAGCTGTAAATGGGGAAGAAGGAAAGACAAGTGGATGACTGAGAGAGTGAAAATGCAAACCATCTTTTGTGATAAAATATTCTTTATCTTCCCTTTATCTGACGGGCTGGACACATTTCAGCCTCTGAATGCAAGGACGTCAAGTGGACAAAGTAGCTTGATTATGCAAAAGCAGGGAAAGAACTGCGGATTTTATTCTAATCCGTTTTTTGATTATTTTACATGGAAGAAGTGAAGCACATGGTATTTTCAATGTTTCATCATCTCCTTTCACCTTTTCACATCTTTTTCTCAAGAGGTTCTTTAATATGGTTTCTGCTGTAATGCAGGTGTCTACTCTGAAAAATTACACTTCAGAATAATTAAGATCACTTAGAGAAAAGATAGTCTTGCAATACTAGGTCATAGGCTTCAGCAACCCAAAAAGGGATGAAAAAACAAAATGAAGGTGACAATGCTAAAAACAGAACTATGTATATACTCCCACAAAAGTAGAAATACACATCATTAAATCCTACAGCAAAGTCAGTCTCCATATGTTCCAATATATCTGCCTTTCTTGAGAAAATACTTATCTTGCTTCCGTCAAAACATGATTCCCCATGTTACATAACTAACAAACCAAAATCAGCTTATTGCTTCTTTCTGCCCTCCCTCATAATTTCCCATTCCAAGTATTTCACTGTAAGAGTACTTACTGTAGTATGAGAAAAAGAATAAGCAGAAACAACATGTCTAGCACTAATGCAAACAATCATACAGATAAGACTAGGATCAGCACCTACTTATTTCCCAGGAACAAGTGCTGCTGTGAAAACTTCCTTTCTAGAAGTGTGCTTGCCTCAAAATACATGGTCATAGGGAAATACACGTGCGTGTCACTATGGATGGGACTCCCTAGCGTACTGTCTGCCGATCGAACACACTGGTAACTTTCAGCAATGTCTGCAGTTTTGAAATTCTACATTGGTCTGCAGTTCAACATTCACACTGGCAACAAAGCAGCTTGATGTGGGCATGCAGATTTTCATTTGTGAATGACCACTTGCATACACATTTTTTTCGCCCTTGCAAAAATCCTCAAAAGCTATAGCTGAAAAGTATTGCCTGAAGCACTGCAAAGCATTTTTTATTTCATTGTATAGTTTCCCCCATCATTCAAAAAGCTATGTATTAGGGCAGAACAAGTTGCCTTTTGCAGAAAACAGGAAGTACTGGAAGCTGTCTTGGTTTACAAAAGATGATTGGGATGGTAAGATGCTAGTTTGTTCTATTTATCACCGTTTCATCCATTTTTATTGATTCTGTCCCTGTTTGTGACAAATAACTAAAATGATTTACACAGAGACATATGAATGCACGCTGTCTGTCTTCATGCTAAGCTCACACTTGAAGGAGTCCTCAACTAACTTGAAATAAACTCTCTTACGTCTTTGATGATGTGTATCCAAGGCAGGTGTCTGCTTTTTGCTAGAAGAACTCACCAAGAAGAACTAGCAAATTCAGTACAAGCACAAAAAAGGAGCAAACAGTCGAATACAGCTAATACTGTGGTTCTGCACCTGTGGGAAAGTGCTTGAAAAATTGCTTCCCTCTTTTAATCAAAAGACAAAAGTGTGTAGAAATGATGGTCCCCCCTTCATCATGACAAGCAGTCAAGAAGTGTTAACAGCTGGCTTTGCTACAGGCTCTTACTAAATCAAAGTCAGAAAAACTCCCTCTACTGACATTTACAGTAACTGGTGTGTTATTTAGGGCACAATATTTGCACTCTGTAGTTATATTCAGGAAATTGTGTCCTTTCTGTGGCCCTCACTGAATACAGGCAACTGGCTAAATGCTTTGCTCAGACTAAACAGGCAGTTGTAGATTACTCAAAAGATAAGAATCCTATAGTCATTAGAACATTACTAGCATAAAGGTGGAAATAACATTTCCAACATCAGCTTAAATAGAGTCTCTACAGTAATTTTATCACTAGTGGATTTTTCCGGCTCAGAAATTGTTTCAGAAGTGCCCCATGACACACATTTATGTAAAGGCAAGTTTTAGCTTTGATGCTTACATGTTGTTATTTATGTCCATAAAATATGCACATTTTGCTCACTGACGTTTATTAGAATACTCTTTTAGTCAGTGACTAATTAGGATACCATTGACTAGCTAGAATAGCTTGGAGCTAGTAATGTTCTATCTGGAAAAAGAGAAAACTAATGCTTTGTACGTATAAATTTTGTATGTGTACATAAAATTTGCACACACTTCGGAGCAAAAAACAGCTAGTGATTGGCCATGTTCTTTGAAAGAAAAATATTAAAATCCGTTCCCTGCTTAAATCTTTTTCCACCAGTCCCGACACGGGTTTGCAACTATAGACTATATCATAAACTACAGTCCTATTGCAACCACAGCAGTTGCATTTAAATCATTATCCCAGAAACTGACACAGTTTTAGCAGTAAGTATGAAAAAGGGCTTTCTTCCTTCCCAGGGAAATTATGTACTGTCAATGTTGCAGTAAACCCAGAAAGATTCTTCTTTAATCAGTGTTTTACTCCTTCAGAAGGAATAATAATAATGAATTAAAAAAAAAAAATTAAGTGACATATTGTTCTGCTCTCACATCTGCCTCAACAACCAAGACCAAGGTGATGAAGGCATGTCAAGATGACACTGCAACCTCTTTGGCCTTCCTGAGAAATTTAAGAACTGTTTGCCAAGCTGGATGACTGCAATCAATTTTTTTTCCCCTCCTTTCTTCTCCTCCTTCCTTCTTCCTTATCTTTTTCATCTTACAAGAAAAAACACAGACCAGTTGCAGTTTTTGCCTGAAGACCAGCTGTATCCCCCACAGGGAAGAGTCAGGCTGGCTCATATCATCTGTCCTCCTCTCACATACATTGCAGTATGTTTGTCAGTATTGTTCTGTTCTCTTCTCCATCTTCTTTATTCTGCAATATTTTCACCAGAATCCTATGAAAAGCCTGCCTGTTGAATTAAGATGTCCCAGATATGATGGCAACAGCTGGGATTTTTTTTCCCTTCTCTTTCAGCAACAAGCTCAAGATATTTTTTCTCTGAATGTTAGGTGCATTACTTTTGCCCTCTACTACTGAAAGTCAAGAGTCCTCATTAAATCTGTTTTTTTTCAGAAGTTAATGCTTCAATGCTTGAACAAGTTGAAGTTTGAAGTCCTATTCTTCTACATGAAAGTAACTTTAATGGCGAACTCTTGCTGAAGAGGAGAGAACTCCAAATCAGGGTGACATGGTTGACAGAATTTGAGTAAGAGCTACAGAGCACACCAAATGACCAAAGCAACACAGTAGAAAGCATGAACCGCTTATACTAACATTTATTATAAAAAAATGCTAAATATGCTTTTTCTGGGGCAGAAGTAATGATGCAGCTAGGACCTAACAAAAGCTAAGGCTTACACGAAAAATTCAGGGATCAATTTGAACCAAAAATTTCCTACCAAACTGACTGCAACTGGAAAAATTCAAGTGTTGACTTCAGGACCTAAGGGTAAGAAAGAGCAAAGCGTTAGCAGAGGAAAGTTCAGTGGTTTTAAGGTGTTTTCCTTTCCAGGAAAGGTGGGTTTTCAATGCAGCAGGGCCTGGCAAACTCCCTGACACTGTCTTGCGTGCTTGCAAGAGAACAACAATTGCTGAACTCCGGAAAGGAGAAAAAGAACTGCTCTTTGTCAGCTGGGATCTGTTAAAGTTGCTTCCTTGGTAAACTATTGCTGTTATTGCTACCTTTCACTGAAATTAGCTGTAGTATAAGAAAAGACGTCCGTTCCAGGTGGTACAAAGAGAAATTTCATTCTCCCTTCTGCACAAAGCCAGGTTAGCTGCTAAAGCTTTGGTATAAGTCTTTTCTAATTTGCCTGTTTTAAAGGTGATATTAACTATAAAACAGAGGACAGTTCTGAGAGCAGGAAGCCTCTGGTGCTAACGGAACCTGTCCCAAGAAACAATTTCCATTTCAAAAGTCAAAATTCCCAAGAAAAAGAAACAAGGCAATTGAAACCTTGCTGCACAACAAAAAGAAACCTGTGAAAAAAACATACCCTATACATAGGAGCAAAAGAAGTTATAGTCTCTTTTTTCCATGAATGATGTTAGACTAGAGAAGGTCTGACTGGTTTAGTTTGTGTCAGGAAGAATCACAAGGAAAAACAGAAGAGGAACTCTGCAGTGTTGCAAGTTCCTGCATTTCATCACAATTCCTATGATAATTCACTCCTCCCCTGCCCTACCTCACCTTTACCTGGAACTTCATGACAATGTCCTGGGTCTCTCTTTTAAAGAACATGTTTTAGGTGTCACGGTTACACAAAGACTTCGGGTTAGAAGGAAATGCACACTAAAATCCCTCTGAAATCACAAGATACATGAAAATACCTCAATGATTATAGAAATAACTGATTTGGTGTCTTCATTATTTTTAACAGGAAAATTCCATGATTCAGAAGAAATTCAAGTCATGATTTCTGTATTCTTGAGATGAAAATTCTATCTCCACTAGTTGAATTAGAAAAAAACACCATGCTGCACATAGAACTAGATCCAAGCTTGATCCAAAAATGGCCCATAAAGACAAACTAGATGAGAAAATTTCTCTTCCCTGAACCATTTTTATACCCTGTAAGGAAAGGAAAGAGAGTGAAAAAAATTACTCTCCTCATCTAGAGCCAAACCATAAATATTTCAGTATTTGCTAGCTATATTTAAATATTGGGGGGAAAAAAAAAAATCCTGCTTCCTTCATCCCACTCCTAAGCAGTTCTCTGCTAGAAAACACATGGTACATTATTAATGTATTAGATATAAATAACAGGTTAGGTCCTTCCTCAGCTTGATAAGACTTAGCAGAGTTATTCAATGACTGCAGGAAGCCACAGATAGAGAACATAAAATAACATACACAGAAAACAGTGTGGGGTTTTTTCCCCAACAGTGTTGCAATTGAATTTACTATGTTAAATCCCCAAAACTC